TGGGCAGATGAGGTCGGCTGTCATGGCAGTTGACCGAGTCTCCCAGGCTAGTCACGCTCATGACCAGCTTGTGCAGCTCCTCTGTCCGGTCAACCATGTCTAGTAACTCTTCATAGAATAGCTCTAGACACGAAACCACTTCGTTCCTAGGAGCTTCCTTCGATCTGACAGTCCGGGATTCTTCGACTGTATGGCGGCGGATCCAAACGAAACAGGGATCATCAAATACCCGGTCCTTTCTCGCTTGGTGCAGACATGAAGTTCTCATGTGAACCTTGTGCCAATGGTCGAGTGCTTCTTCTGGTGACAAGTATCGTTTCACCTTGTCGCACTCATCGCAATCGCCTAGAGCTCTTGAGCCTGAGACTGAGGCTGACTCTCCTGGCGGAAAGGGGGTAGTAGGCCGTGTTATAAACCAGAAAAGCTGATCCGTTCCTTTCATCTCATCGATCGACCACTGAAGCCCCTGAAGGATGTTAGTTTAGACACAAACGTTTGCATTTTGCTTGAAGCCCTCACCCTCAATATTGCGTCGACTGAGCCCCAGTATCGTTTACAGACCGGATGATGGACGAGACGCCCCTCGTCGGGAAGAAAGGCGCTGAGCATACTTTGAGAAACGCTAAATATTCTCGACAGGAGGAATGATTCATGGTCCTCTTTGGAATCCATCAGTTTCCAAAGATCATTACCAGATCGGAGATCTTCGCTTGATGAATTGTGTATAGGGTGGCGGAATTGTGTGTTGGGTTCAACCTTCGGGTCCAACTCATTTTCTTCGTTCTCGGTAGACCCAAACAACGTCGACGCTGGAGCTACAAGACTTCCAGTAGACCCCTCATGTTCAATGCTGGTCTCTAGGTCTGGTTCCTGTAGAACGGCGTCAACTACAGAGTTTGAGCCTGGATTGACGTCCGGCCTCGAGTTAGTCTGCGCCACGCCCTCAGTTGCCTCTCCAGTTGGTTTGGGAGGAGATAATTGTAGCATGCTAGCTAGCCGCTGCGTAAGCTCGCCCTTGGTACATTCGAAAGAAGCCTTGTACCATTTTCCCATTCTATCCGACTCGATAGTCGCATTCAGATTACCCAGTAGCTGAGTAAGGGTCTTTTCAATCTCGGACTGTGATCTCTTGTCGTCGTCCCATGTTAGTCTCCAGGCAAGAAACGGTACAAAATTGAGATCGCCTAGATCCAGTGGCGGTAAGCTTGTGGAGAGAAAACTTGTTCCAAATCCCCGATCGGGAGTTTGTCTGGTCCACGAGCCATTGAAAGAACTTGCGTCACTGCGTGTTCTTCTGAACTGCTCCTGATCAGTGAGCCAAGATGGAAGTGGCTCTGCTTCTAAAGGAGATTCGCGGGCATAAGTAAAGCTTGGAGTTCTTGAACGGCTTCGACGTCGTCTATGATGTGATACAGGAACGTCGAACGTGAGATTCGATCTCAAACTCCTCGTTGACATAGATCGAGTTGTTTGTCTGTGAATTCGTGGGAGAGTAAATCTTCTTTCTTCAACAACCTCGACATATGGCTGGCCAGGCTGTAATCGTGGGCTAACAGTCTGCACGAGGTAACCATTGTCAGCTTCGTCTCGTCACGAAAATGATGTAATTACGTACTGTTTGACTCGTCTGATCCGATTCTTCTGTTTCCTTTTTAAGCTTGAAGAGCCTCGGGGCTTCAGCACCCTCAAGCGAGACAGATGACTCAAAGTTGGCCATGTTTCTCATCCTAAAGCTTGTTTCCGACATGGATGTAGTCAAGTCAACAGTGCCATCGAGTGATGAATTATCAACGCCCAAGTGTGAGTCAAATGACAGGGTTGAAGTTTCAAACGTGTCGCTTCCTACCTGGTCTAACCCGTCTTCTGAAGGGCTCGGAGAGTCACCACCATATTCCCACATACCGGGATGCAGTACCATCTGCATATCCATGTCGATCGGATTCAGGTTTGTGGCTCTCGAGTCGGACCTGAATGAACTAGGTGAATGGTGGAGAATCATCAGTACATATGGCGTACAAAAACGTAAGATCTCATTCATATCCTACCTCCGGCGCGACGCTCTGCGGCTGCCCAGATTGCTCCTGCTCCCCGCAGTGAGGAGCTTTTCTGACAGGGCAAGGAATTCCTCATTGGGTCTCCGCTGCGCCTCGTGTTTCTCTCGGATTCCGAAGACATAGTCCTCGATCGTCTCGCTCGCAAGTAAGTTCAGCCAGATATCTGCTGTGATTATGCCCCAATAATCGTTGACTAGCACGTAAGCAGCTGCATTTACAGGACCTTGCCCCTTAAGTGCCAGTGCCACCGCATGCTTGAGGAAGTCCTCCAATTCTTAGTAAAATTCCTAGTAGGATGAAGCTGGTGTCAACCGTGAACTCACTGCATATTTCCAATCGGCTTTAACGACAACATGATACCGACACATGTCTTGTTCGTTAATGAGCCTGACGGTGTAAAGTCCTGCAGATGATTTCGTCCGGTCAATCTTGATCAGATTTTGTTGTATCTCTGGCGACAAGAGTTCTGAGAAGGTGACGATCAGGTCTGATACAGTCAGGAAGTGTAAGCGAGTGCCTTATTTAGTAAATGGAAAGCTTACCTGCACCAACTATTAGGGTCCAAATTTGCGGAACCTTCAATTTGGGCGGTCCATCCTCGTCAAGCTTGAAATTTCGTCCTCGAGAGTCATTATTGGGCTGTGCTTCGTCGTCATAGCCATAGAGAACTTCTCGAAGACTCCTCATATAGTGCTTCCCGGGGAATCTGTTGGCTGAGCGCCTGTCGGTAAGAAGAAGATGAGGTGAAGAGATGAAGACTACAGGTTCGGTATCAGAGGCGTCTTCGTCTGCATAGACCCCAAGTGAGCTGTTGTATCTCCCAATGTATTGGATCATTGAGCCAGGTTCGAGGTAAGAGCCATTTTCTGAAGATCTCTCACATTTCGCAGTGACTTCTTTGAGAACTGTAAGGGCTACTAGTCTAAGTGATTGGGATAAATATGGACAGTCTGATATCAGAGTCTTTACCTGTCGGTCAGTGACCACGCTTCTGTGTTTGTGAAGTTGCTCACGATTGTTCAAAGCTTACCTCCATAGTCGCAACATTCAAGGACTCCGACTGTACGTGTCTAAGGTATTCTTCTGTCAGTTTTGACATTTGCCTCATGATTTGGGTCATTCTCACAGCCATCTTAACCGAACAAGGGACTCATCTGTAGCCCCAAACTCGTAGTCTTCCGGGCAGGCAAGAGTGATCTTTTGGTTACCGGCTCGATCCATATAGAACTCTGCTGCATGCACTGTATTGAGCTCCGTCTTAGCTCCATTAATGAGATCTGACTTTTCTTGATTCCAAGCCAGAAGCTTTCCGGCAGTAGAGTTCATGTCATTGTCCATGGACGATTTTGTGCTGTTCAGGTTTAGAACCCCTGAGTAGATCACTGGACCTTCAAGATCGTCCCAATCCCAATCCGTGTCATCTAGCGTCGACTCTTCATCCTCGTTCCCAGAGAAGTCTCCGATTTCTCCCGTCTCTAGATGCGGCGTCTCTGTATCAGGTGCATTGACGTTGATCCAGTCAAAGCCTTGATCTTCATCTCGGGGGCCCGTCTCACCGCTATCGCCGACTTCAGAAGTCCCTTGATCTGAGCTTCGGATTCTTTTGCTGAGTTCAAGAAGCTCCTCGATGTGGTTCTGTCCGAGCGCCAGCTGAACAATAATGGTGTCTCCATCTTCGGCAAAGGAGTATCCAAGATGTATCAATGCGCGCTTGGAAACAATCCGTGAAGGAATCCGCGTAGTGCCACGTTTTGGGCGAGAGTCACGTTGAAAGGAACTGACACTGGGCGTTGGTGACCGGGAAGGCGATTTCGGTGAGTCTGACCAATCATCGAACCCATCCTCTTCAAAACGGATCTGCTTGGGCTTGGTGGCCATGTCTGCGGCGGCAAGGGAGAGGTACTAAGCATGAAATGTTTTGGCGCTGGAAGCCGTTCGTTGGTAGGTCCGATGGCTTCCGCTACGCAAGGCTCAGAGGCCAACCCATCGCGGCGGTCAGTGATAATTGAAGCTCTATAATTTTAGTGCTGATGGATTTTGCGATAGCCATATTTCTCGCAGCCTTGCTTACTTAGGACGCTGCTTGAGCTAACCTCAGCTAGGGTTCAGCTTGACAAGGGTTGCATGCATCATGACGCAGCTTCTGGTGCATTTCCTCCACACACCATTGTAGCATCGGGCTCATTCCGCCTGCTTAGAATGATGGCGGGAGATCACCAATATTTTGAAGGAGGGAGACGAAAATTTCTGCGTGCAAATTGGCGCTGAGGTCAAATCTAACTCGTTCCCGCGAAACCCAATAATATTTGCTTTTTAATGACAAGTAAGGGGCCAAGACAAGTTGCTGACTTCACATCCACTTTATTCAAATTCTGAGCAGCATATTGAGGTTCGAGTCAACACTTGTACGGATGGTCGACGCGTTGAGGATGGGTACTTGTGGACTCGTCTAAGAAGAAGATGATAGCTTTCATCGGAACAAACAGCATTCGAGGCTTTCAACCCACACAACATCCAACAATTCCTCGTTAGGTTGTAAACTGTTAAGGTTAGATCGATGGAACCATGATGCTTCAGACTAGTTCAGCAGTGGCGCCCGAGTCAACTTCTATTGACTTGCGGCTCAAGGTGACGGCGGACAAAACCCACTGCATCCGTACCATGTTTCGGCGGCATCACGTCGAGCCCGAGTCACCGACCCACTTCACGGAGATGTTTGTTTTCTCCGGCCGGCCACATAACGAGACATTTCTCAACGGCAGAGTCTCTATGATGTATGCTAATCCAGATCATATAAGAATATGCCGTCTGAACTATTCTCGAATTCAACTTCCCCTTCTTTTTGTTCACACCACATTATACGTATTTAAACGCAGCTATACGTTACGGCATCTGAACTCAAGCAACAACACAGACACACACCAAGTTGCCACTACCGAATTGAGCATGTCGTTCATTGAGAACCCTGCTGTCCCTAAGGGATCAATTGCCGTAATCACTGGCGCTAATGGCTACATTGCGTCTCACATCGCAGACCAGTTCATTCGATATGGATATAAAGTCCGCGGAACGGTCCGTAACCCGAAGAAGAGTGCTTGGCTTGTCCCACACTTTGAGAAGAAGTACGGGGTAGGGAAGTTTGAACTACATGTGGTTCCTGATATGCAGGTTGATGGCGCGTATGATGAGGCTATCAAAGGTAAGTGCTGTTGTGGCCCTCAAGCACGGCGTCAAGCTCCGAGAACCCGCCCTGCTTCATGCATGCACTTTCGAGTGCACCGTTTTTATGTAGGATCATCTGACTAAATATCATAGGGGCGTCAATTTTCGTGCACACTGCTACCGTCATCGATTTCAACGGCGACCCAGCCGAAGTGATTGGAGGTGCAGTGAAATGCGGGATGGTCGCTATCGAGGCAGCATACAAGGAACCAAACATGAAACGGTTCATTCTAACTTCATCAGCCTCAACTCTCATGCCACTCAAGAAGGAAAATTTCTTTGCCCTGAAGGGCCAGACGGTGGATGTGGACACATTTGGTCACGACGCCAAGGAACTGGCTTGGGCACCTCCTCCTTGGGGTGTTGAACACGGCGGAGCGATTTACGGCGCGAGTAAGATGGAGCAAGAGCAAAACATCTGGAAGTTCTACGAAGAGAATAAATCCGATCGGCCAGATATCGTGGTGAACTCGAGTAAGTCGGCGTTCAATACTCTCTGAGGCAACATAGAAGAAGCCTCAATCATGACACGACCGCACATGCTTACTCTCATCCTCTCTGCTAGTTGTTCCAGACTTCAACTTTGGAAGAAGCATCGACCCGTCTCAAACTGGAGGCTCGTCATCGTTCGGCCTCATTGTCGAACTCTTTGAGGGAAAGACTCTTCCTGAGCTTTGGCATCTTCCCCACTTCTTTGTCGACGTCGAGGATGATGCTGCCCTGCACGTTGCGGCGGCTATTCTGCCTGATGTCGAGGGTGAACGCATCTTCGCATTTGCCTACCCGATGAACTGGGACATCATCTTGAATATCCTTCGGAAGCAGAATCCAGGCAGGAAGTTTGCCGATAACTTCCACAATGATGAATATCCTGTGACAGTGAAGCCCATTGCGAGGGCAGAAAGCCTGCTGAAGAGGCTGGGCAGGCCGGGTTGGATCTCTTTGGAGCAAAGCATCGCGACCAACACCGAGCACCTGAAGACTCTGGACATTGCATAGACAGGTTTCAACGAGCTTTACAAGAAATCAGACGATATTCGCAACAATATGGGATGCGATGTGATGCACGATAACCGCTCGACCAGGGTCTTGGGACGTCATCAAGGGGAAGATGCTTACGCGCTTACACCCGTTCGTTCATAAGGACGCGGGCTGGGTGCACCCTGAATTAGCGCAATCCTTCGTGCGCACCTCACTGGCTGTATCGGAAACAGAAACGAGCGAGATGATTTGAGTGAAGATGCCGTTGTGTTTGCCATGTGCGGTGACTGTCCACGCGTTCCTGGCTTATGAACCCCTCATTGAGGATTGGCCAGTTATATGCATGTTTTCTTCGATCCTTCAGGTCCAACCTTGGCTATCCATGTTCATGACGAGTTGAACGAGCCTAGTGTAACATTCCCAATCTAGCGATACGCACCGGCAGGATAACTCAAAGCCAAACTTCGGATGATGGAATGGTGCGCCTCCGAGACAAAAACAACGGTCTATCTACCCCTCACCGACGCCACATCTCTTTTATCATCATCAAGTGCCTCACATATCTTTGGGGTGGTTGCCTGTTATACAGCTGGCGATGGCTTCGACAAATACTTCCGAGTCATTTGGCAGCAACCAAGGACTCTTGCAGTCGCTCCAACAACATGCGACATCACCAATCATCACCTGGCTGTTGCTACCAATTATTGGTATAGCTTTCCTGCGCCATGTCTTGCGACCAAAGGCAAACGAGCCCCCGAGCTTGCCGGGTCTCATCCCCTATGTCTCAAACACATATCAGTACATCACCGACAACAGTAGATTCCTCGAGCGCGCCACCGAAGCACTGAAGAAAAGCAGCGTGGTGAAGTTCAACCTCGGCGCCGACACTGTGTACCTGGTTGCAGGCTCTCACAATGTGCAGAAGCTGTTTCGCAACAGCTCGAATAACACGCTCAGCTCGGATAAGTTCATCGTCATGGTCAATGGGCGGGTGCAAGGGATGACTGACGAGGACGTGGCGGTAATGTACAACGATAGATCTGGTCGTCTAAAGACCCCGGCTGCGGGAACTGAGAGCATGCCTGAGAATCAGAGGTTCTGGGTCGGCTTGCATCACGTCTTCAACGAGCACCTCTTTCGCGCCGAGGCTACCGCGAAGTTGGCGGAGTCGTTCATCACCTTTTTCGGCGAGAAGCTCGACCAGCAGCCCCGTGATGAGTGGGAAACCTTGCAACTGTTCAAGTATCTTAAAAAGGATATGGCAGAAGCAGCGACGGTCTCGCTTGCAGGGCGAAAGCTGATTGAGGACCATCCGGGATTCGTCGACATCTTCTGGGAATTCGACACGATTGCGATGCAGCTCATGTATGGCCTTCCAACTTGGATTAATCCAAAACCAAAACACATTCAGCGCAAAACCCTAGCCATGATGTCAGACTTCCTGACTGATGCCTGGGCCAAGTTTGACTGGAACGGGCCCGATGCCGACGCGGACTGGGAACCGATCTTTGGCTCGAGACTCCAACGTGAGCACTCAAAATTTTGGGAGAAGAAAGGATTCTCGCTTCAATCGCGTGCTGGGATGTACATTGGAAGTATCACAGGGTATGAAACGCAGTTTCTCTCTGGTTGTGGAAGTAACCTGACTGACGTGAAAACTTCCGTGTAGCATTAACTCGAATTCCGTGCCCCAGACGGCTTGGGCTGTTATGGAAGTGATAAAGGATCGGTCGCTCTTCCAGGCGGTCCGCCAAGAGGTTGATTCGGTGTCTATCATTGACCCCAAGACTGGAAAGCCAACCTTTGATGTGGCAAAACTAGTTACCCTGCCTTTGCTTCAGTCCATCTACGTGGAGACACTACGAATGCACGTGTCCATCAACATCACTCGTGAAGTTATGGAACCAATGGAATTGGATGGGTATCATCTGAGTAAAGGCTCTTTGGTGCAGGCACCGACGCAGATTGGGCATCGTGAAGAGTCAGTGTGGGGTGTCGAGGGGCACCCTGCGTCGGAATTCTGGGCGGAACGTCATATCAAATTTGTCGAGAAAGAGGATGAGGATGGCAAACTTCAGAGAGTCAAGGAGTTTGCCGTAGCCGGAAGACCGAGCGACTTCTTCCCATATGGTAAGCCGTATACACCCAGTCATCTCCATGGCCCTGGCTAATAAACGTGTGGCAGGTGGTGGTGTGTCCATGTGCCCAGGGCGTTTCTTTGCTAAGCAGGAAATCATGCTGGCTGTCGCTATGATTGCGTCTCGGTTTGATATTGAGTTTGAAGATTGGGTCAACTTTGATGGGTCGCATTCGGAGAGGCCTCCTACGAATGACAAGGCGTATGTAGGTGCGGGAGCTGTACCGCCGGACAGAGACATGCGAATGCGCTGGAGGAAACGGTGGTAAGCAGTTTAGGATCCGATTGAATATGGCCATCTATTTCAGTGGATAATTTTGCGAGAGCGCGTCGAATAGTGGCATAGATGAGCAAAGCCGTTGCGCACTATTTTGAGTTGGACGACTCAATCGATTGTACGTGCACATTGAGGAGAAGGAAAAGGATTGAAATAGTGCCATTAAGGTCATGATCATTATGAGTCAACTAATGAATACAACAAGGTATAGGTACAGTGCTCGCTTTCATCAAACAAATTCCTTAGTTCATACGGTAAACAGCATCCTTCTTGAAGTATCTGCTGATATCGTTGTCCTCGCCGCACTTAGTGCAGGTGTGGAAGACCTTGGCTCCATCATGTCCTGGGCCGTAATGGTCAGGACCCATTCCTTGGGGTCCCGGGCCGGTGGTGCCAGGGACATGAGAAGAGTGCGTACCTTGGTTCAGACCGGAAGATCCAGTGTGTCCTCCGAGACCAGTGCCAGCAACGTTGCTGTGGGTGGTGCCGTGAGTGCCGGTAGGAGACTGGTTGTAGGGATCGAGCATGCTAGTCTTGGGAACACCGGGCTCGTTGCCGGTAAGGCTGGAGCGGTGCTGGTCATGGACGCCACCAGCGTGGGTGCCAGTGACACCACCATGGGTTCCGGTGACGCCGCCGTGGGTACCGTGGGTGTTGTGCCCAACAGGAGAGTTAACGCCGCCAACAGTGTTATTACCTCCGAGACCAGACTCATGCAAATCATCGCGGTGATGTCTGTGAGCAGCCTGGCCAGCAGCCACGGCGGCTCCAGCACCAACGCCAGCACCGATACCAGCACCAGCAGCTCCATGTCCGGTGCGCTCACGGCCCATGTCTCTGTCTCTCATGCGAGTGTCGTACGGGTCATTGACGTTGCCGCCGGACAAAGCCGCCTGGGGGTTGTGAGCAGCGCTGTGGACGCCGCTGTAGGGGTCACTGCCGGCACCGCCAACTCCAGCACCGGAGCCGTGGGGGTGAGTAAAGTCGCGACCCTCCATAGAACGGTCGACGCTGGACGCAGGGTCGTGGTGTGTTGACGCCGCGGGATTGTAATGTCCTCCACCAACGGCCTGAGGACCTCCATGGCCGACGGCAGATTCATTGGGGCGCAGGGGCAAGTCCTTGTTGAGAGCAGAGCCATCACGGCCGACGTCGCCCCAGTAGGGGTCCTGGGCGTTGGCGCGCTCAGCGTTGGCGAGGTACTCGCCCTTGTAGGGTTTGTTGTGGCCAACACCGTGGCCGACCTCGACACCGGAGTCATGGGGACGGTGGGTGCCAGCGACACCTGCGCCTGGCGCGCCGCGGTGGTCGCGGTCCGAATCAACTCTGGGATCCAGCTTGTTGGCGGCTCTGCCGGAGTGAGGACCGTGAACGCCATCAGGGTCGTTGTAGCCGGTGGTGGTGTTGCCACCGACACCTCCGACACCTCCGGTGGTACCGTGGGGGTTGCTGTGTAGACCTCCGGCGTGGCCGGTGCCGGTGGTGTTGTCGTAGGTGTTGTTGCCAGTCAGACCAGCAGTAGGAGCACCACGGTGGTCGCGATCGGAGTCGACTCTGGGGTCGAGCTTGTTGGCAGCTCTTCCTCCATGCGGGCCGTGGACGCCATCGGGGTCATCGTAGCCCGTGGTGATGTTGCTGTATCCTGCCGTGTTGCTGCCGGTCAAGCCTCCAGTATGGCCGGTGGTTGTGCCGTGAGTGGTGCCGTGGGTGTTGCCGGTCAAGCCGGAGGTGGGCGCGTCGCGGTGGTCCCGGTCAGAGTCCACTCTCGGATCGGCCTTGTTGGCTACTCTTCCGGCATGGGGGCCGTGAACTCCATCGGGATCATTGTAGCCAGTAGTGGTGTTGCTGGTGTGATGCGTGCCGGTACCGGTGGTACTAGGGATATGGCTTCCGGTAGTGCCGGTGGTGCCTCCGGTGTAGCCACCGGTTGTGGGCTTGGAGGTTCCGGTTGTGGTAGAGTCGGAGGGGAATGCTCCGGGTGGCTGGTCCCCCTCGTATGTGGTCTTTTGAGGGTGGTCGTCGCTGTGGAGGGCGTTCTTGATCTTAGCTCCCAAACCCATGATTCCTGATTGACTTATTGATGTTGTAGAGGTAGCAAAGAGTTATTGTAATAACAAAGTATAAGGTTTAAGGCTCGGTTTTCGGGGTATCAAAGTAGCTTGTGTTTTGTTGTTGGTATCAAATTGTATTGTTGAGGGTTCTTCTGAGTCGATTAAGCTGAGGGACAGAGAGCATCAAATACTGCTTCTCGACGCACGATGTTCATCCATTCTCGTCCAATAACCAGCGTGATGTCACCTTCGTCAACTTCTCTAGCCCAGAGGTCCAGACCGTCTTGCCGCCGTCTTCGCAGCATCAGCAGGCCATGTCTCAGCTCCGAATTTTGTTGCTATGAGCTCATGTGGAGTTCCACTGGCAAAAGACTCAGCTTCCGAGCGCAAAACTTCGGTTCGAGAAGCACCTTCATGACGGCGAGGGAGGGATTCATGACGTGAACTGCGGGGATGTGTGATCGAGCTTCCATCCGCTCCCGCAGTAGTGGAAGCTTGTCTCCGGTCTTGGACGCGCTCCGGCACACGGATCCGAGGAGGTTCGCCCTTGAAAACAGGGAAACGGCCTCTCCACTCACGATGTGGGATGTCCCTCCATTGGCAGTCGTCATTTAGGAGGGGGCGCCACAAGGATACCCGCCACACGGTTACGTTACCCCAGGAAATTCAGGTTTAGCTAGTGCCACAGTGGCTGTCATATGTGGCGTTGTCTGATGGATGGGGATCTGCTGGGTGCAGTATTCAGTCTTGACGGTTCTGACGCTTGAGACCCAGTCAATGGCACCGGCTGACGCGGCGAGAGTCTCTCATTTGTCAAAGTCCTTGACAAAAATCCTGGAAACTGCACGGCCAACAATGGCAGTCTGTGAAGTTAGTGTCACTCAAGCAGAAAGCCCAATTATGACGCGGTTGTGCAACCAACATGAAGATTAACGCAAACAAGCTCCTTCTTCGTCCTTGACAGCTGAATCTTACGCAAGATTGCGCGGAACCAGGAATCTGAGGAGTTCAACACCGTCTGCTATGTGGATTCGAGACCATCGCCAGGCAAAGTCCCTGTCGTTGCCATGCTTCAGTTGCCTGCCGCCTGTCTCTTCATTCTCTGGGTGCCTGGCCTTTGCGATCGCTTCTTCTGGCTGTGCCTTGTAAGCGCTAAGCCGTTAATCCATGTACCCTGCCCTGTTGAATGGGTTCATTTGCTCAGTCGCTGTTCCTGATCAGCGGCACCACCCCAATCTTCTTTTCTCCGACCAAACTCAATTCTACGACATGCGGCAGCCTTCCTCACTTGCATTAACTTCTTATCAAGCAGTACAGCATACGAAACAATGTAACTTGGGGGCCCTCTGAGGCCAAAATCTGATGAGCGTTGGTTCGTCGATGGCATGCCTTCGTGTTCAGACTTGGCAAGGGTTGTGCGTAGCTTGCGCCCGAGACAGCAGCCTTTGAGGGATTCTCGCGTCTCTTTACCCCGCCTGAAATCCTACGCTAAATTCTTTCGCCAGCTTTCTAAATCATGGAGGCTGTCCCTGATGGAGGCGTTCGGTCGCGGAGGAATGCCCATCTCTTTATAATCGTGTTATATCGGGTAGAATGTGCCGTGCGAAATGACTAGTCTCGCGCAAGTTTCTCTGGGATTTCTCTCGGCTTTCGAGTGACATACCAAGCATCCTACTGAGAGCTAGCTCAATCGTTTAGTCCACCGCTTTCTCTGTGCCGATACCGTTGCCAACATGCTGAACCGCCGTGGGCCAATCTCAAAAATCGTCGGCAGCGCTGTCGATGCTGCAAAGAAATTCCAGGGAGATCAGAAACAACCGTCAACAACGCAAAAAACCAATAATGTGCCCATACAGCCAGTCCAAGCAGGGCAATCAGTCGCATCTGGCCACACAACAGTAGCGCAACATCAAGCGACGAGGGATGATTCCGACGTTGACGAAGATTGGACCCGAGCACTAGATGAAGCCCAGCTAGCTCAGTCGCAGTCCTCCGGCAATCAGCATGGGGTACCAGTTGAAGACATCGAGGGAATGCTGACCGAATTCATCGTTCACCACCCGCCACCAGAGACCTCCAACCTCGGAAGCGAGAAGCATGGTCTGCCAATGCCAGTCATACTCCCGCAACGTCGCCCCGAGTCTCGACACCGCGGTTTCGTGCGAGCTTACGCCCCGGTCCTACAAGAATGCGGCATAGATCAAGCCGCCTGGCTGGAGTTCCTCGACGGTTTCGAGAACAGTATCAAAGGAAGCCCGTGGTTCGGGGTCGTGAACGCTGGCGTCATGGGTGCAGATCTCGCTCACACAATCGTGGGCGGGTTCGCACCCATCACAATGCTGGTAACGCTCTCAGTGCAAACGGGGCTTGAGGCGTCGCGCAGGGGCTACGTGAACTACAAACAAAACAACTACCTCGAAGTCATGAACGAAAACTTTTTCAAACCTCGAGGCTTGTATGCCCTTGTTGTAAAGTACAAGCCGTCTAGCAGCGAAGTCGTGGAGAACATCGATCTGGATCACAATATCACCCAGGCCGTAGAAGGCAGCGAGAAACAGAGCAAGTGGAAGAAGCTACTGCACTCGGGTTCGAGTACAACAAAGAGCGAGGCCGAGATCCCCGAGCCAGCGCCGCTCGTCTTTCCTCAACTCGACAAGATGGATGAAGGGCAAAAGCAAAACATGGTGAAGAAGTTCGGAGACTCCATCTCGAAGTACTACGATCGAAAGGCGACAGACAGATTCAGGAAAGAACATCCTGATTCAAAGCTCATGCAAGAGGATTCATCTGAAGAAGAAGGTCTAGAGGCTTCGAGTTCGACGGAGGGACACAAGGGCCCCATTCGACGTCTGAAGCAGAGACGCCAGGAACGCTTCGAGGCGTCAGGCAGAGAGCGGAAATTTGGAAAGGAAGCTCGCGAGAAGCGGAAGAGAAACCGGCCGCTGAAGAAGTTGATGCGGCAAGATGCTCTGTACCTGATGGTCGTCAACCTCCCAACTTCGGATGAGATGGATGCGGTCCTTGCTCAAGTCGAAGGACAGTGAGTGAGCTCTTAAATGACAAAGGTTGTATCTAGATAGACTTCTTAATTTCCTGCGAGGAACAGGGTGTTAATGTCTCCGTCTTTCATAGATCTGAATTTCATACTAAATAGCCAATTACGCCTACATCGATTTCGTATCAACATTGTGCACCCCCTTTCCAGTGACTGAAATCTCTTGTGAGGCCGAATCTTCCATGCTCGCCTCTAGAATCCTAGGTCCTTCGAACTTTGCAGCAATTTCTTCCAGCTTGAGTCCTTTGGTCTCCACAAAGGTAAAGTATGCTATTACAAGAAAGATTACATTCCAGGAAGCATTGATGAAGTAGAATTTCCACCCCAAATCTGCCATAGCGTATGCCATAGTAAATGAAGCCAGCAGACTACCCTATGTTAGCAGAGAGTTTTGAAATAAATGGCGTGGTAAACTTGCCCGAATCCAGAGTCCAGCATGCGGAAAATTGCGATCCCCGTAGCTCGAAGCTTGTACTGCGAAACCTCCGTGGGATATAGACTGGTCATTGGCGTGATGGAAAAGGCGTAGAACCCTTGGAATAGGAAGATGACTGCAATCGTGCCGTAGATTCCAGATTGATTGGTTGATTCACCATATGCTACAGAGATATTAACCATTGACCCTCGCTCAGGTCACGTTCACGGCAGCTATGCCGGGCGAAGGCGTGGATCAGAACTCACTCTTAATGAGGCCTCCCGTAATGTAGAGCATGGCAATCATACCGCCCACACCAACGAAGGTTTGCTTCCTTCTGCCTAAAATGTCGAGCATGAAGCTGCCAAAGACCGCAACAGCAAATGACCAACAGTTCAGGATGACTTGAATCTGTGTTTGCTTCACTGTGTCCCTAATACCAGCCTGACTCAAGATCTTGGTCAGGTAAGACCTAGCCCCGGGTAAGCGAAAGTAGAAGTCAAGGTATCTGAAGGATGGCACTTACGAGATGATGAAGTTGCCAAACATGTTGATCATGGGGCCAAATGTGCAAAGAATGGCGAGGCGTTTTCGATTGGCGGGCGTGGATACGATCTCTCTCCATGGGCTTCGAGGATACTCCTCTTCCTCCTTCTTCATAATGATTCTGATCTCATGCAAACTCGCCCGTCCTTGCTGAATATCCTCGACGCCCTTACCTTGCATGATCACGAGAACCTCAAGAGCCTCATCATCATGGCCTTTCGCAATCAGCCAGCGTGGGGACTCCGGAACGAATGGCACCAGTATCACTGCCAACAAGCTTGGCACGAACTGAAGAAGAGAGGGAAGACGCCAAGACCAAGTGCTCTGGATGTTTTGGCTGCCGTAGTTGACAATGGCTGAGGCCAAGCTTCCCACATAGAAACAAGAAAAGAACAGACCGAGAATTCGGCCGCGCTTGCGAGCTGGCAGAAGTTCTCCGAGCAGAGTGGGAGCAGCGCCGTTGCTGATTGCAGAGCCGATGCCAACGATGATTCGAGCGATGACGAACATGGCAATGTTTTGCGCGGCGGCTTGGAGAATAATGCCGATTACTGTGATGACCGATGCGACGAGGATAGCTCTTCGACGTCCAAAGTAATCTGGCACCGGCTGCATCAAAAAGGCGCCCAGAATGCCTCCCATCCATGATGCAGCGTTGTTGAGACCTTCCAATGCAGGGGTCAAGTGGAAGTATTCGGTGTACGAGGGGAGGATAAGGAGACCGTTCATGACTGAGGCATCGTATCCTAGAGTCTTTCATCTCCTGGTTAGTAAAATGCTTCAGTTTTTGGGGAACTGTACCTACTGCCGAGTTAACAATGGCTACAGCCAGAAGCAAAGGAGACAACACCTTCAAGTTGGCCGGTACCAACCTGGAGACATGTTTACGCTCAAAACCCATGTTGCTAATGAGTGTCTTTGGAAATGAATTGCCTGACTTCTCTTCATTATCATTCTATATTGTCGCATGGCTTCTTGATCGCCCTTATATCCCATTAATTGTGAGTCGTGGTGATTTGTGATCTGCTCAAGTTGATTGGCTGTCTCGAGGCCTCGGGTGAGTTCGGGCGAGCCTATCGTGGCCCACTTGGTAACTACCGGCTGGCACAGAGTTACTATCCCAGATTGTCATCGCGGGGAAATGTCACCTTTCATACGAGCTTATTCACTCGGGCGAGCTCGGGCGGGTCTTGACAGACTGAATTATCGGCTAGGCCGCCAGCGCGACTTGACATGGGCCGTCTTGGGGCATGGAAGATCGCATCGAAAATGCGGGATGACGGGCGGTGAATGATAAGCTACTTAAGATGGCATTTCTCATGCTTTTTGCCGCTAACATATTCAAAACCCAGCTCATCAGAAATCTGAAGCAGCACAAGATTCCTTTCAAAGATGCCCGGAAGCGTCCGAGAGTGGCCCGCGTGGCCGGAATACACCGACAAGGATCCCCTTGAACCAAAAGATCCCGACTTTCTTGACACTAAGAAGGCAATCATATCCCAGTATGGCGCCGAGGCGTTGAGAGAAAGCTGGGTTCGAGTCTGTGAACAGCTCAAGTCGGTCACGGATGAGATAGTCGACAAGGGTCGAAGCATCATTCCAGTCTTCGACGCCCAAATGCTGCTCGACAAGGGTCTTACGGAAGCCGAAAGGGACGAGGTGAAGAGAGTCGGCACATTTGTCATTCGTGGGGTCGTTCCCAAAACCGAAATAGTTCAACACTACGCAGATCTTAAAAACTACGTCGCCGAAAATAAGCAGAAGATCCAGGGATGGCCAAAAGAGACTCCCTCGATGCTGATGCTGTACGATTCACCCACTCAGAACGCTATAAGATCGCACCCAAACCACCTTCAACTTCAACGCCTCCTCAACCAGCTTTGGCACGATGAAAATGGTGAAGATACTTCGCCAGACCCTTTAGTGTACTATGATGGAGTACGAGATAGACCTCCGCGACAAGAATTCCTCGGACTCGGGCCGCACATTGACGCCGGGAGCCTAGCTCGATGGGCAGATGCCGCATATAGAGAGGTGTACGGCAGCATCTTTTCTGGAAAACTTGAGCTACACGATCCATACGACCTCAGCCTACGAAAAGTCGCGAACCAAGAGTTGTATCCAGGCGTTGCTCATTCATCGGTCTTCCGCTCATTTCAGGGGTGGACTGCCTTGACACGGACTGCCCCAAGCGAGGGAACACTGCTCGTCTACCCCAACGTGGCTACTGTCATTGCATACATGGTGCTGAGACCGTTTTTCAGGCCTCCTGTCGACTCTGCGGATATGATGGATGCGACCAAGTGGACTCTCGATGACTCCGGCTTTTTCCCTGGAACGTTCAAGACCCAGAGCCAGCGGCTTAGTCGCTCATCGCATCCACATCTGAGACTATCAGAGTGCCTAATTCATGTACCGAAGATGGAGCCGGGCGACACTGTCTGGTGGCATGCTGATGTAAGTTTTGATGTGTTTTAGATTCAGCAGCCGCTAATCGTGTTTATGTAGGTCTGCCATGCAGTTGATCCGGTGCACGAGGGATCACAGAACGCATCTGTCTTATACATTGCCGCATGCCCCACGACTACAAACAACAAGACTTATGTGAAGAGGCAATTGTCCGAGACTCTTGCTGGAAGGCCACCGCCAGACCAGCAAGAAGGAAATGACTTGGATGAAAGGACACTCAGGGGATACGTGGGACTGCAGGATCTGAGTGCTGAGGCAAAGCGTGCGTTTGGTTTTGGGTTGTGAAGTCCATGGGGCCAACCTGAAGACAAGACAAGAAAAATACTACTTGTTTCTATGATTCTCACTGTAACTCCATGTTAGCCTCATGCAGTGAAGACCTGAGAATGGCAACTGCCGTCTCTGCTATGGCGTTGCGTGATTTGACCTCGTCCAGGTATTCAATGGCGAGTTGCACCTCGTCCGTAAAGTCAACTTCAGCCCCGGCTTTTGCTCTATGGGATTCTCTGAGAAGAAAGATGGCAGCAACGAAGATGTGCATCGACAAAGCCCTTCAAAGCGAGTTAGAGCCTCTTCGGGCATTACGATATTCGGAGACTTACCACTGTCGTCGCATTGCGACTGGCTGATCCCAGTTATGGGTAATCCAGATGATATCCATAGCAGAACGAATGCACACTGCCCGTGCCCAATCATACAGACCGGGAGCTGCTAGCCACTCCTTTTGTAATGAACGATTGATGCGCATACGATGGTGCAGAAGCACGAGACTGATGTCGAAACGTTGCCATTTGATCCAGGGGTGGGTTAGCTCTAGCTCCTGCATTTCTTCGGTTTTGCCACTATCGGGTTGGAGATGGTTGGGCAAGGTGTTGATGACCTCTGCTAGTTCATCATCAGCTAGGCGAACGACTTCAGCCACTGATCGCGTGCCCTCCCGCAGTGCTGATCTAAATCTATGATAGACAGTCGAGGTTCGTGCCATGAATATGTGATACAGCACTGGGTGGGGACCTTCGTGATCAGATTCTGCCGAAGGCAGTGGAACATTGAAGTCTCCTTCGTCTACTTGAGGCACATAGTAAGGGACCGCAAGCCTATGTCGAGAATGAGCACTGCCTCTCTCATCTCACTTCTGAACGAAGACCTACCATTCACAAACGATCAAGGTCCACCATAGACGCCTTTGAGCTTCGAGGCCCAGCTCCGTAGGGGGATGTGGAGCTTGAGTGCTGTCCAGCCCGAGATTCCGTGCGATTCGTATTGCGCAGCTCCAGAGATGACGGTATAGATCAGAATCTCCGAAATTGTGGAAGCACATGCCAAGTACTGCAATCGCCTGAACAGGGCGAATTGTGCTACTTCTCATATAATCTGCTTCTTCGAGACAGAACAAGGCAGTCCTGTACCACTGTTGTAGCATACTTCCAATGTCTTCTGAGTGCCGACGGACACAGTCAGACGTGGGCGCATAAAGTTGAGAAGGCGGGCATGGCTTCACCTGCAGGAAGTATCTCCCGAGCCTCCTTGTCATCCATCATCAATAGGGCAGCCTACTAGAGGCAGTCAGATCAGTGCTGTGACCTCGGAAAGATTGGTTCACGTAGGGACTGACCGTGATGACACTGAAATACACTGATAACCAACCAGGATCGCAATCAGACAAGACAGTGCCCTTTTCTAAATTATCCATAAACTGAGTATGTTCTTGATCGAACTCGGGATATTCAAGGGCATAGTGGACCCAGGAATTCCACTTCTTGTCATAAGCGATTAGCAGCTCGCTAGACTTTCGGCAGGGTACGTCAACCGTACTCCATCCTCGGCGATGTCGAGACACCTGTGAAGATGATGGAGACTTGAAAACCATCTCCTCCAGCGGGTCATGGCACTCCAACAACTTTTGCGTAGTCCTCGGCTTTCGAAACGACGAATCAGAAGCGGAGCGGACCTGAGAGGCTTCAAGAGCTGTTCTTAGTCGCCGATTTTCCTGAACCAGCTCATCATATGTCGGCAACTTGACTGAATCTTTCCCTCTATGATTCAAACACCAGTCAGCTTATTAGACAGAATATGCCCTAGATTGAGAAGCGACCTTGTAACTTCACCCCGCACCATCACGAGCTCTCGTGAGCATGTTTCAGGCGTACCCTGGCGAATGCAAGTTGAGCACGGTAACCTTTTATCGCACTTGACCTTACGAGCAGCGCAGGATCGACAACTTCGTGGGGCGCGCTGTGTCTTGCGATATGAAGACGGAGTATCAGACGACATATCTGGGTTTCTTGATAGAGATCACTCCACATTTGGACGCGTCGAGCAGCGGTCTGGGCCGAGGCCACGTTAGTGGCGATAGAGACGTTCTCTCCAGCCACGAGCCTGGAATGGAAATCGAACAACAGGAACTCAAGGGTAATGTTGATGTTGTTTACTTTCCGGGCTCGTCATGTACGTCAAGAAATGAGACAAAGGTACGAGACGAGATGTTGAAAGGCGTAAACTCACCCGAACTCAGCCGAGAGTATTCCTTATCAGCGATGCGATAAGATAAGCCCGTTCTTATCTCGGAAGGAACAACGGTACGTACTATAAGTGCACCGAGTCCCCTCACATTGCTGGCCCTCGAATTTTATCAGATTCGATACCATCACCACATCACTCTCAATGAGATATTGCCTAGAATAGGCTCTTGAGCCGATAGACTCTACAGAATCTGCCAAGCACTTTATTTTAAGGACCTCAAACACATAAGAGAAACACATCTTCAGCATGGCTTCAGCATTCCATGGAGCCGTCATCCACTCGCTTGGCCCAAACCAAGTTGAGATACTTGACAGCGCCGGAATCATTGTTGGATCTGATGGACTAATTTCTGAGTTCTACACCCAAATATCCATCGAAGAGCTGTCCGCAAAGCTGCCCGACGATCAAAAAGTCAAGGTTCTTGCCAAAGGCCAATTCATATCCCCTGGTTTCATCGACACGCACAACCACGCTCCGCAATGGGCAATGAGAGGCCAGGGGCAGGGCCTTCATATCCTGGACTGGCTTGATCAAGTCACATTTCCCCACGAAGCTCGCTTCTCCGACCCTACATACGCCCGCAAGGTCTACGAGAGCTGCGTTAAGGGCTTCCTCAAGCAAGGCATTACGACCGCTTCCTACTACGGGTCAAAACACGCCGAGGCAACAAAGATTTTGGCCGACATCTGCCATCAGCTGAACCAGCGGGCCTTTGTAGGAAAGTGTAACATGGATCGTAACGCTCCAAGCTACCTCCATGATGAATCAGCCGAATCGTCTCTGAAGGAAACGAAGGAATGCGTCAAACACATTCGACAGATTGACCCGACCGGACAGCTGATTCGCCCTGTCTTGACTCCCAGATTCGCTATTTGTTGCACCCCCGACTTGCTCGAAGGTCTGGGTCAGATGGCATCCCAAGACCCAGAGCTAGCGATTCAAACGCATTTCAATGAAGCCGAGCAGGAGATCAAGGCGACAAGAGAGCTGTTCCCACAGTTTTCCAGCGAGGCAGACCTCTACCAACACTATGGTCTCCTGAACCAGCGTTCAATTCTTGCACATTGCACCTTCATGACAGACTACGAGATGGACAGGGTCAAAGAGCTTCAGTGCGGTGTTGCACACTGCCCCATTTCGAACATGACAGTTGGAGGAGGCTTCATGGCGGCCTCCATACGTCAGTTTCTGACCAAGGGGATCAAGGTTGGCCTTGGAACCGACAGCGGTGGCGGATTTTCGTCAAGCATGCTCGATAGCGTCCGTCAGGCAATCATAGCTTCCAACGCACGCGAGGTCATGTCAGGCGGCAAAGACAAGGCGCTGTCTCTAGACGAGGTTTTCTACCTTTCGACTCTCGGTGGAGCTCAGGTGTGTTGTCTCGAAGACAAGGTTGGAAACTTCGCCATCGGCAAAGCGTTTGACGCGATACTGGTTACAAGCTCCCTTGATGAAGCATTTGGGGTCATGACAGTCCGAGAAGAGACAGACAGCCTTCGGACAGTGTTTGAAAAGTTTTTGATGACTGGAGATGATCGTAATATTGCTCAAGTGTACGTGCAGGGCAGGCTTGTGAAGGACACATTATAGACCTAAGCTGGGTTTTCAAAGAGAGTTTATGACTAGAGTCGAGTATTCGGAGAGAGATACCAACAACTAAAATGTTCTAGCCACGAATCATGATCTCTCTTGACTAAAATTCGCGTGCAGCCATCTAGAATCTTACTTGAGCCGTCTTGAGAGAAAATTGGAGACCGTCTCACGGAAGGCTTCCGGCTCATCGGTTGGCGGACTGTGGCCGGACTTCTCAAAGATCGCGAGCTCGCTATTTGGGATACCCCTGCTGATTTCTTCTCCATATTCAACAGGTACCACAACGTCATGCCTCCCGGTTGCAACGAGTGTTGGTGCAGTGATATCCTTCAGTTGTGACCGCACATCAAGCCGCGGAAGGTTGTAAGAGAAGGCAAAATTGTGCGTCTCGTAGTGCAGGTGCTCGTGTGCATCGTTTCCCTCAAAGGTTGTGTCTCTCGAGCCAACACTCGCGGAATCGTCTTTTGGCTTGTAGATTTCAACAATCTCTGCAAAGGCAGCAGCAAAGTCTTCGTTGTCTCGAATGTTGCCGCTGTTGAGTCGGACCTGCCTATCTGGGTCTGGTGTGATTCGGTCGCTGATGAGGATAGTCTTAATGAAGTTGAAGGCCCCACGAAGGCCGCATGCCCATGTGTCTCTCAGGATGAGAGCCAGGAGACGATCAGGATGTGAAAGAGCATACTGCAAGGCCACAAAGCCTCCGTAGGAGCCTCCGGCTAGAACAAATTTATCTGCACCCGCCCAGGATCTGAACTAATATGTTAGTCGAGCCGCCATCAACGCGATAAGCAACAGTTCAGTCCTTACCTCAAGTCGTCTACATCAGCCACCCAACGTTCATCAGTGTAAGGCGGCCTCAGTTCGCTTTTGCCGCTGCCTCTCGCATCATACACCAAAACTCGACAATCAGAGGCTAAAAAGCCGAACGATGAAATCGGTTCTCTATGGTCGGATAAACCAGGCGCACCATGCAAGACTATGATGAGAGGTTTAGTTTCGTCGCTGTCGCCGAGGAGTTTGACCTGGACTTTAGCCCCGTCACTAAGTTGAACGATGGAGAGGCTCGCCATGTTCTTACCGACGAAACTTCTTTGAGTGCTAAAGACGGTCTCTTGAAGCATGTGAGAGACCGGAGTTCTGCTTGGCCTTTTGTACACCGTGAGGGGATCATCCCGCTTATAAATCAGGTCTCGATTATGTGCATTATGTATCGAGTCACATCGCGTCATCTAACAACATTATGACACAGGAGTCAATAGTCATGCTTTTGACAGCCGAAGGATCGAGACTTGAACGGAAGTGGCAAGCTGTCAGATTCTTGTTTCAAGAACGAACCAAAATCTGGGACTTTTGTCGCGGCCCATAGTTACCACGCTGGGTTGGAGAGAATAGAGGTCATCAAGTCGCATGATTCTACTCCGAAGCAGTAAGTCTATTATTTGACACCGTGTTCATCGTTGTCGACATCTGGAAAATTAATAATTACCCGGTAAAACAATCGGTCATCTCCATCCAGCTTGATGACTCCGCATATAAATCAAAGCACTGATTGCTCTCTTTATTAAATAGACTAAGATTAAACCGAGACAATGAAACTGTCAAAATCACAGAGGGAGGCACCGTTGTTACAGAGGCAGGTTTAGAGGGTTGTTGAAGATGGTTAACCTTGAAATTAAGTCACTCGACAGGAACCTTGCTCTTGGTCACAAACCCAGCATCTTGAGTAACGGCTGCATTTTATCTAACATCACGGTCTCTCGGCTCGAATGACGGCACTCAATCCCACCACTGCTAACAAAAGTCTTGCCTTGTTTGGATTAGGACGACTGAGACCTGACTGACCACTCGGAGCCCGCGCGAAGCTTTGCTTTCAGCATTACTTGATAATTTGGAGGAGTTCTATCAAATAATGAGACCCAAGCCAGGCTTAGGGCTCTTCGATAGAAAGCAACACGGATCACTTTCTGGTCATCCATCGAAATAAGCTCAGCCCTCCAGTTCTCCAGGGGCTAAAACAAGGGGAGACTGTCGCTGGAAGCAGAAATTCTAGCCTGGTATGGGGTGAGAAAGAAAGGGGCCAGCCAGATTGGGACATCAACCTTGGAACGAAGGTAGGACCCTTGTCTTCGAGTCTCGGTCAGACCGACGACAGGCCATAACATGCCATCTTTGAGAAAAGTATATGACGATGCTTATGCTCCAAGAACGAGTCTTTCACAGGTTCGAAGGGCTAGTGCAGCGACAAACGTCATGGGAGTAGCTTTCAGCAGAGATGGAACTTTACTGCGTGAATAGAGATCGCGCGAAGCCATGAGGGAACAATTTTCAGTGAAACACTGACTTCGGGATGAAATGTGCTAGGAACTTGGCTTTGTTTCCTGACTCGTGATAGATCGGATACAGCCGAATTGGGGGCCTTCTCCGCGACGTCCCCAGCTTGAGAACTACTTGGGTTCGAATGCCGAGAGCGAGCTCCGAGTGTTCATCCACTTTTTTGAGTATTAAGCACTTTGGAGCCTCGACCGACTGAATCGCAAAACTCGAAGCCTCGTCAATCAATCTCTCTGTCTACTAACAAGCGATACTTTGGGCAGAGAGCTTTTGAAGATATGGGGATCCCCAGAAACCAAACGCTGAGGGATCGCAGCGTTGAGATTTGCGACACTTTACAAACAACACCTTCATTATTTCGCAGCTTTTGTGAACATGGACTACTTTCTCTTGCCGACGGCATTGCCAACATTCAACATCGTCAAGTTCACAGGGTATACCCCGGCCAACAATTAACATCTTTGGGCAAAAGCGGTGGATTCGATTTTTGGCTCGCGCTTTTAAACACACCTGTTCAATATCGCGGTCCCACAAGGCGCGGCTGAGCTCAACTGTCACTCTGCGGCGATGTTCCGAGCCCTAGTTCACGATGGTCGAAGTGGACTCTGACCCTTTTTTAGCCCAAGGGTCTCAAGGGTCTCTAAGGGGTTCTCAAGATGCTTCGTGAAGTGCGCCTTGACCAGTCTTTGAGTAGATCGATCATTGCATATAAAGTGCGTGACTTAGCCTGGTCGGAAGTATCACTTTACATTGCGAAACAACAAAGTCTTCTATCTTAGTTACGACTACCTCGGATCTCACTCGTTCAAACTCCGTCGGCTCTCTCATTTTCAGTCGCTCACTGAACTCAATCATGAGACTCTCGTTTTCCACTCTTTTGGCCTTCCAGGCACTGGTCAGCTCTAGCATAGCCGCTGCTTTGCCGGAAAAGGCCATTCTTCGACCAGTCCAGAAGCGACAGGCCTCCATCCCATCTACACCCCTTGGACCAGCCAAATTCAACCCGAAGACCAACGTCACCTTGCCCTATGAAGGGCTCAACGCTACCAACGCCCTCGTCCGGGCTATGATGAAGCAACCTGCCGTCTTGTTAGAGAACATCGAGACAATCACCGATGTTGAGTGCTCGACTGCTGGACTTGTTCTCAAATTTAGCGTTACCGAAGACTACAACACATGCTTGAGCGCATGGCCAGCAAAGGACTTCATCATCATCACGAACCACAATGGGACTTGCGACAGCGAGCACGAGCGCGGTGTCTACGTGGTCCAGAACTACACCTTTGACAATGCCACCTTGACTCTTACTGCTTCGTCTACCAAAGCAGAGATTAGTGATCAGATGAATGACGCAGTCATCGATTTCCAGCACACCGGTACTGCTACGACCAAGCGTGACCTCTCCGGAACCATTTCCGCAGACCTTTCTGGCTCCACGTTCGTTGCGACGGACGCCTTGAATATTGTCGCCAATGAAGCCAAGCTGGAAAGCACAATCACCTTGGCCGGCCATGTTCACTACAGCTTTTGGAAGTTCAAGGTTGACGAGTTCTACATTGATGTAGACTACTCGTCTGCTTTGAACCTCAATATCTCTGCTGCAGTCAACGCCCAGTATTCGACCAACTTGTACAACTACAACCCTCTTTCCGTCACTGTTTCAGCCTTCACTATTCCCGGCATTATCGATGTCGGCCCCATGGTAAACTTCGGTCTCGGCATCGAATTTGCTGCATCCGGTGTTGTCAAGGCGTCTGTGGACGTTGTCTCAACTATTACCGATGCTCAAGTTCACCTTGACTTTTTGGACTCCGCCAAGACCTCTACAACAGGCTGGAAGCCGCAGACCAACATCACCACGGATATCACTGCTCAAGTTGGGCTTCAGCTAAATCCGTTTGCTGACCTGACCGTTGCCCTGGGGGTCAAGCTTTTCAACGGTCTCCTAGACATGTCTGCTGGAGTCGAGGCGAAGCCTCAGGTCGTCAACGTATTTGCGGTGGACTTTGACTTCGCTTACACCAGCGCCAGTGGTGTTACCTTTGCAAAGCCTACTGAGGATCAGTGCAAGAATGGCGCTTGGTTTGCTAGCACTTTCCACTTGGGCGTTGATGCATATGTCACGCAGTTCTACACCAAGAAATTGTACGAGGTCGATGTGCCGATTTACCAGTCGCAATGCTGGAATTTTGTCCACTGAATATCACTTTAGCTTAATGGTCTAATAACGAAAACTGTTCTGAACGATTCTAGAGACTTACGCGATATCTTTACGCTACTGTGTCCACAGTGGCCAAGGGAAGCCATACCGTTGTAGCTGTCACCGAAATATTGAAAAGAGGCACCCACTCTGTAGCATTTACGATAGTTCTCGGGTCAACAGCTACTCTGACAAGCATGCTACTATCAATAGCATAATCCAGGTGATGTTACTTTTCCCACGAAATATTGGCCCAAGTCCACTCAGTGTGCGTCTAGTACAGCAAGGAGTTACGACAAACTCCATGCAGCGATTTGCCTACTTACGTATAGGCAGCAAAGACTGAACCTCAATATTAAATGTGACAGTTGATATGAGAGATTTGAAGTTGTAGACATCCAATCCAATGGAGTCTCTGTCTTTATCATATATTCACGTCGGGACGGACTAAGTGAATCGGGAATAGAAAACCCGAAGTCCTAGATTGCCAAATCACATAATTAAATAGACTGGTGACGCTATCAAAACCCCTGCAAATTCCCACTCAGCGAGACTCAGTCGCGGTAAACAGCAGCTTTCAGAGGCCATGGGGTTACAACCCTTGCTTTGACGTTGCTTGGCGTTCAGGGCATATCGCAATCACCTTCCCATCGCAGTAGTAGTGACCGTCTTGGCCTGGATACGAGATGAGGTGATGATCGTAGCACAGCTTTGAATAGAAGGTCGTCGGTGTATGATCAACTCCATTTTGCTCTTCATGTAGAATGACACGATGGAATCAGACTATTCTAGCGACGTACATAACGTCCCTTACCTGCTCCACGACAAGCACTTGCTATTGTGGTCCTTCAAGATCAACTGAGCTAGTCACATCATCGCATAATGTCTAACGTCAAGCGCATCGTCGTCTTATTAGGTTTCTCATCGGGTATTCTGGCCAGCCCGTTGATCGCGAAGGTTTCCAGCGAAGGCACTATCATTCCCGACAAGTACATCGTTCGCGTTGCTTCAGGCACCCATGACATAGACTTTGAGAGCCACTTGAGCTGGGTTACCAACGTCCATAAGCGCAGCCTGTCTCGTCGGAGCACTACTGGGGTTGAGAAGACCTTTAGCGTCGGCGACTTCAAAGCTTACGCAGGCGAGTTCGACTCTGAGACAATTGCGGAGATTGAAAAGGACGGATATGTGAGTGGACTTTGTGTTTCTGCAACCAAATGCTCGAAGACTGATCTCGGGATACAAGGCCGTCAGCATCGAGCCAGACCGAGTTGTCGAGGCGGCAGCCTTGGTCACACAAGCGGCTGCTCCGTGGGGACTTTCGAGCCTATCTTCGAAAACTCCCCTAGCAGACGGCAGCAGCTCCAGCCCTTACATATTCGATAGCACCGCTGGAGAAGGGACCTACGCCTACGTTCTTGACTCAGGAGTCACCATTGAGCATGCAGAACTCGGGGGGCGCGCCATTCGAGGCTACAACGCCTGGGAACCGAATTACCCTTTTGAAGACGAATTCGGCCACGGCTCTCATGTTGCCGGTATTATTGGCGCAGCTACATACGGCGTGGCGAAGAAGGCGACCGTCGTCGACGTCAAGGTCGTTCGGGGCCTTGTAAGTGCACCGGTTCGTGGAGGCCTGGGAATTGCATCGTTAGCTAACTTTGGGACCTGTACTAGGGCTACTCAACGGTTGCTCATGTCTTGGATGGGTACAGCTGGGCCGTGAACAATATCACCAATACCCCAGGACGGGTCTCCAAGGCTGTCATTAACATGAGCCTAGGTGAGTTGAACACAAGCACACGCACACGCGATCTTGGACTATGCAGTGAAAGATTGGCTGACTTTACCAAAGCTTTCCCAAAGAGCGACGCGATGAACTCTGCAGTAGATGCAGCTTTCGATCTGGGTGTCGCAACCGTGGTCGGTGCCGGGAATGATGGTAAAGACGCTTCGATCAAGTCTCCCGCCTCAGCTCAGAAAGCCATCACTGTCGGCGCGGTCGCTTGGAATTGGACTCGTGCGGACTGGAGCAACTTTGGGGCCGACGTCAACATCTTCGCGCCCGGTCTCGACATCCCATCGCTTTGGAGGCAGCCTGGACAGGTGTCGGTGGTTTCTGGAACGTCCATGGCAACACCCCATGTCGCCGGACTCGTTGCCTATCTCCAGGCATTGTATCCCCTGGAGAATGCGGCAGCTGTTGTAGAGAAGTTGAATGAGCTCGCATTCAAGGGCGTTGTAGGGAATTCGGGAAGTGGGAGCGCAAACGTCCTCGCTCACAGCGGTGTTGTCTCCGTCTGAGTTGCATCATAGACGAGGGGTAGAAGAAGACGGAGCTCGATTTAAGAGGGCTTGCATGTAGGCTCATACCATGATAATGCAGCCAAGCAGCGCACTCGGAAGGTGTTAACATGACGATTATCATAAGCAGTTCAGCGCATCCTGCGAGATACGCGTTGTGGGGTTCTTGTCACTTACTTTAGCTATCTCGCGGCTATAGACGCAAGTCCATGCAGAGCCTCGGCAGTCTATTTCTAGTTCCAGTGCGCCGGACATGCTGCAGAAACAGGTCGAGAAGAGAAATGTTCGGCGAGAATTGCGGAGTCAAGTTGGATTCCTGCGCGTGCCGTGCATCTTTGCCCGTCTCCTCACCAAACCACATCCCTAAAGACCCTCTTATTCTCCAAATACGTCATGCAAAAATGAAACTTGGGGTAAGACTGATGGATCAAGGATCCTATGTGTATCACTTGCAGACGTCTCAAAGCGCCGGGGAAGCTCTTGTGGACTTGACAGCAGCCTCATCGAATGGTTCATCAACGTGAGATCTCATAGCTAAGGTAGGGGTCACCTTGCGTCCCCTCCTTCCCCCGCACTCTACAAAAGGCAGTAATTCGCCGATGAGGGACTCTTTACTACGTAGTCTGAACTCTCGGGGGTTCGGAGTTCATCCTCGTGTACCCACTCGGGAGCAAACACCAAGTCCCCCGGTCATCTTCCCACGCATCAACCAGCGTGAACCAGTGCCAAAACATGCCGGACACAAATTGGATCGCGGCGGCATCCCCGCGTCTTGGCGAAAGTTTCCCGCACTACCCCGCAGCGGCGCAGCCCACTATCTCGTTCTAGAAAGATATCCCGCGGCGATGACGGTCCTTGACTGGGAGCCGGTCATCCGGGGCCTATTGAGATATGGGGAAGATATTCTTGGTGATTTGTTCGGTAGATGGGTTTCGTGAGGGGTTCTTGGGATAAATATGTCCTTTGCTGCTCGAAGGTGCGCTTGAGCTTCGTAGGTTGACCTCAATCATCAAACCTTCACTTTTAGCCCAGAAAGTAATCGCCATCATGTCGTCTCCAACAATGAAAGCTGTCAACTACCAGGGCCCTTACAAGGTCAAGGTATCGGAGGTGTCGTTGCCCAAGATTCAGCACCCCGACGATGTCATCGTCAAAGTTACCACTGTAAGATGGACCTCTCTCCTCCCACATGACTGAAGCTAAGCAAACATTCAGGCAGCTATCTGCGGCTCAGACTTGCAGTAAGTCTACTGACATTGAAACAACATCAGCGCGCAGTCACTCACTATTCATAGCATGTACGAGGGAAGAACGGCCGCAGAGGCCGGCATCACATTCGGTTAGTCACTGATTACATTTATTTACCGATCATGGGACAGTTTCTGATACGTTGCAGGCCATGAGAACATGGGAATCGTGGAGGAGCTTGGCGCCGGTGTCACTCTTCTCAAAAAGGGAGATCGTGTCGTAATGCCATTCAACGTCGCCGATGGCCGCTGCCACAACTGTGAAGAGGGACGGACAGCATTCTGCACTGGTGTAAACCCTGGATTCGCCGGTGGTGCTTATGGTAAGCCAGTATCTCGTGTATATCAACAAAATATGTGAGCTTACACGTCTTGAAGGATATGTTGCCATGGGCCCCTACCCTGGTGGGCAAGCACAGTATATCAGAGTTCCTTACGCCGATTTCAACGCTCTGAAGCTTCCTGCTGGCAAAGAATTTGAGTCAGATTTCATTTTGCTTGCAGGTACGTATTATCTACCATCTCACTGGTCCTCCAAACTTTGCTGACCTTGTGCGCTCTACCAGATATCTTTCCCACTGGCTGGCACGGCATCGAGCTCTCCGGCTTCAAGCCCGGCGAGAGCGTCGCCGTTTTCGGTGCCGGCCCTGTGGGACTGATGGCCGCTTATTCGGCAGTTCTCCGCGGCGCATCAAGAGTTTATGTAGTCGATCGCGTTCCCGAGCGTCTTCAGTCCGCCGAGAAGATCGGATGTACACCAGTGGACTTTACCCAAGGCGATGCTGTCGAGCAAATTAAGAAGCTGAATGGCGGAGAAGTTGACCGATCTGTGGATGCTGTTGGATATCAGGCCGTGAGTGCCGGTGGAAACACTGAGCAGCCCAACATTGTGTTGGAGAACATGATCAAGGTCACACGAGCCTGCGGTGGACTTGGCATTCCAGGACTTTACGTTCCGAGGTAATATTCTGTCCTTTCACTTGACTTGTTTTGCGGCTCTAACGATGCACGTTTATAGCGACCCTGGGGCGTCCGATGATGCTTCGGCAAAGGGCATGATCAGCTTGAGCTTCGGTAAGCTCTTCGAGAAGGGACTCTCCCTTGGAACAGGACAGTGCAACGTCAAGGCGTACAACCGATACCTACGTGATTTGATCATTGCGGGCAAGGCCAAGCCCAGCTTTGTTGTCTCACATGAGATCAACATCGATGATGCAGAAGTCGCGTATGAGAAGTTCGACAAGAGAATCGACGGCTACACGAAGGTTCTGATCCACCCCAACGGCGGCTTCTAATCTATATGAACGTGTTTGGGGTTCGGGGAGTCGGCGGCCGTTGTCATATTGAAAAGCAAGAGGCTAGGGGCGTTGTTGATGGTGTTGTGAGTGGCTAGGCGGCATAGCGAGGTTTCTTGACCACATGTTGTGAGATGATGCTCAACAGCATGCAGAGATATTCAATTTGATCATTTCTTGTTAATTTCAACTTCCAAGTCTCAACTCTTTTGATGGGAAATGTTTCATAATAGTGCTCAAGTCCACGGAAACAAGACACTGGAAAGGAGGGTTGACTCAGAGCTATGCGTGGTAAATTGATCAAAGCATGTTTAACTTACCACTACCGGTCTCGTCTATTGCAGCATTTCACACTGGCAATAGAATTTGGCAAGGGCTTAAGTAATTTTTCGATTAGAACTTGTATGAGTTATCGTGCCACTCTGGCCTATTGTGGTAAAATGGTGATGGTGACCTTGGTCCACGACTTTCCGCCCGGCCCTTTTCCACATCATCCGCATCAGAGACATGCACTTCAATCTCTTGAGTGCATAAGATGCCCATTTCGATCGCGCCAACCTTGGTTTCGTGATACTCCTCCCTCTTTACGATGCTCTCCCTAGACTCTGAGCGTTCCATCGAGATTGTGATGTTGGTGATAGGAGACCTCGCCGCATGTTTCCGACTCTTGTCTGTGCCTGCAGTCTTCGTGTAAGGCCATGCGCTATCTTCGCTGGTTCTTGATAGGGATGAGGCATTTCCGCCGTATGATTTGACCATGGTGGTCTTCGCCCTTCTCCAGTACTCTTCCATCAAGCTGTCCAATACCGGTAGTGAAGCTGTCACAACTCCTAACGACAAGTCCAGGCATGCCCATAGCAGGGCTTCGGTATAGTCCCAAGTGTAGTCTTTAGTGAGCGTAGGGAGAATCTGATGCAGTAAACCACTCAAAACTGCTAAACCACCAATCATCCAGATTGCGAACAGTCGAATCTTCTTTGTCATTCCCATCCTGATTTTCCACAGTATAACCGCAGGCGCGGTCATCAAGATGAGCCCCTGGGCCACATGAAAGCCGGTCAGAATCTTTGACTGGCTTTCCATGTTGATACACGAAGGAGCTGACTCTCGTCTTCCACGGGTTGCCAGGTTCCACTGCGTTGCCGGCGGACTGCATGCAAAGATGTTTAGGAAGATGGCGAGTAAGATGTATGCAAAAGTCGATCCGATGAAAATGTCGCATGCGATTCGCCACCACCTCGGGAGTCTGTCCGCTAGTCTTCGCATGAAAGTTGCTATGGAGAGCTTAATCATACCCACGGCAGCGAAGAATGCTGTCTTGGAAACCATGGCCAATAAGACGCCGTTGTTGAATTGTTCGTAAGTGACTTCCCAGACATGGAGGGAAGCTGCACCGATTGCGAGGGAATGAAGTTGCGCGATTGGGTAAACGAGAGCTACAAGCTGTCGGGGGCAGAGTCAGTTCATGGAGGTATTCTCGATCTATCATCTGTCTAGCACGTACAGCAGCGACGATGATGGTCCAGTCGTCCCAGCCGAACTGCATGACCGAACCTCTTCGCAACCTAAGCCATGCTCTTGCAACTGTGGGCGCAACAACAGCTAGGATAACGAAAACGAGGCCTGCCAAAACGCCGGGCAACTTCGTCTCGTGGGAGTAGTCGGGAGGTTGCTTGGCGACGAGGGAATAACCCGTCATCGGGTTGGCAGTCGTCATTCCGGCCATGCGGAAGAGACCCTTGACGATGAAATAATCATTCTGAGTTGAGGGGGGTTCTCCGACGAACGCCGACGTCCCCGTCAAGGGGAGGCTACTCGGGTCATCTGGTATCGAGGGAATATCCATCAGATGCCGCCATTAGTATCGATGGAACTCGGCGCGAGTTTTGGATTGAGAGAATCTACAGGAAAAGATTGAGAAACCCTTGAGAAAAGTATCGGGGGGTGTCATGATTGATCTACGATCGAGAGAGGCAGCACATGTGTCGCTGACACGCGCTTCTGGAGGCAAAAGCAATGACACGACCGCATGAGGATTGAGACCCCGAGATCACTTCCCTGTCGCCCCGGAGTTATGAAGAAAGTCATCTCCTGCGCCGCACGTAAACGTGGGTGATCGTTCCTTTTGACACATGGTCATAAATGACCGCGTGAGACTCAATGCAGGTGATGGCTAATTCGGCATCTCCTCCGGCTGAAAGCACCTCAGCCGTCTTGGCCAACAGCATTTGAGTTGGCAAAAACAAGTTGAGATCCACTTGAGACCCAAAATGGCGAAGATCTTGTGTTAAGGCTACTTTAGGCGCGATTTGGAAGTTTCTTTTAGACAAGATCAATGGCATCGTATCCATACTCGATGCAAAGTGTCATGAAGTTACTGGATGTTCGGACTACGCCGAAAGTATGAAAACATAGATTGATGATGTTTGTTTGAGTCAAACTTACCATGAACACTAGTGAGCCTCATCTCTTTCTAATCCCCAAGTCCCACAAGGATGCAGGCCACCCCGATCTAGACTGTGATCCGTGAGCTTCCGCCTGCCCCGTCGCGTTCCCGCTTAAATCCCCACTAACCCTGCAGCATGCATACAATCTCTCTGGGCTCTACCCATTCAGGACGCGGGTTGCCGGGATAGAGGTTTGTTGACATCGGACTTTCCACATGAAACTGGCCAGGATGGGGTAACAGTAATAGTAGTTCGGGGCCGTGGCCAATCTTCAGCACGCGCAGGCATGCTCAAAGAATCTCATCTTTCCATACGTGGCATATGATTCATCATTGGGCCACATGAGCGCCAAACAGAACAACGACCGACGTGACAGCCCATATTAGGCTCTTGTTCAGCGTTCGCTGGGCAGCAGCGGCGGAGCCCGTCGGCGAAGCCGTGGCTGACGCAGTTGCGTAGGTCCCCAAATGAAGTAGACTGGAGATACTCGTAGCCTGCGCTTCGTTGACTGTTGCCCTACAAGGCTCTGCTGTGAAGGTCACATTGGTCGTGATGGCACATGACATCGGGCTGGTGACTGGATCGTCGTACGCTCCATCATAAAGACCGTGATATGTCGTCAATGACGCGTAGTTAATCATGCCCAAAGCAGTTGGGCATGTCCCAGTGAAGGTTGGTGTCGGGGCTCCCTGCTCAATGGTGAAGTCGAAAGTGCCGTTGCCGATCTTTTCGTTGGCTGAATACTCGACCCAGGTTTTGGAAAGATTACACCAAGGTCCGGTATGAATGGTCCAGGAGAAGGTGTACTCGCCCACGTCAAGTACATCTGCGTAGCGGGCCTCTATGTGCGGGTTGTCGGGATAGGTTGTGTCGTTCTTCAGGATGGACCCAATGGTGTTGAAAGGTAGTCTCTGTATTTGTCCATGAGGCTTCTTGTAGATATCCCATGAGAAAACCCAGCCGAAATGATAGGCGACATTGGGGTTTTGCAGTGAAAAGAGGACCGGGAAGCCGTCGTTTGTTTTGGAGTATTTCCCACCTGCGCGGGGGAACACGAGGTCGAGCTCAATGGCATTGGTCGGTAGCTGAGCCGTTGCTAAGTGCGTTACAAAGAGAAAGACGATCGTGACCATGCCGTAGAGGGCACCCATAGTGCGCCCGAAAGCGCCTCGAAGAGGCGAATTGAATGAATGTCGAAATGGGCTGACGGAAGAAACCACTCGTGCATCTCACATCAGAAAAGGAGGAACTTCGTTTGGGAAATTGGACGAATCCTTCGACCCCATGAGATCTTGGCAACATTAGCGGCTCCGTCTCTCGGCCGAGAATCCAGTCAGCTCCGGTACGAGGGCATTTACCAACTGCACTAAGAGCGGTCCACTATTGGTGCTAGATTCGGGCTATTCGTAAAGTAAGAGTATCAGTAGATTGCAGCAACTCACCAACTCTAAACGGCATGAATGAATATCACGTCATGTTCGTGGACGTGATTAGGGTGGAAAGAGGAATGGTCATTTCCTCGACGCCAGCAAGATTCCCCCAAATGAAGATGATTTGCCAATCCGAGTGATGATGTCTACGAAACTTTAAAGAAGAGAAACAAATATATTCAGTCATGATAAGAACATAAATGTAGGTGAAGTAATTATCAAATTCTGTATGTGAACTTCATAGACAATACCATCTGTTTTGCAACCTTTTCCCCTGTAGCTGCCAGTAGTCTCTCAAAGGCTCGTGCAGAAGCCGAGAAGCCGATATATACATTGCAAATCCCAGGAGATCGCTGTTTGCTGAAGAGGCTACATAGTTAATTGTGACTCTCATCGTTCCAACATTCTGACTTCAAGCTGAAGAATAAATAATCAATTGTTTCCATTGTTGATATTGACCTAGCGGTCCGAGCCGGACATTTTCTAGTTACTTTCCTTCAATCCACGTCTTCTTCAGGCTCCAGCCATCCATATATATCTTCGTCTCCACGGCATAATGAAACAAGTGTGCTCTACTCACTTTCTCTCCCCCAGTGCCACAATTTCCGCCTCAATAGCTGCTCCAAACGCCGTCGTGTTGCCTGAGCCCTTCATATCTGGGGTCAAAACCGTGGCTTCTGCGCGTCCCAACACGTTCTCAATGGCCTTCAGTACCAAGCTTGCAGCGTCCGTAAAGCCAAAGTGTTGGAGCAGCATCTGACCAGCCCAGATCATGCCAACAGGATTGGCAACGCCTTTGCCAGCGATGTCGGGTGCGCTGCCATGCACCGGCTCGAACAAGCTAGGAAAATTGCCATCTGGGTTGATGTTTGCTGAAGGAGCAATGGCAATAGTACCTGTGCAAGCAGGTCCCAAGTCCGATAGAATGTCGCCAAACAAATTACTTCCAACGACAACGTCAAAGATGTCTGGGCGTTGTACGAAGTGGGCAGTGAGGATATCGATGTGGTACTTGTCAACCTGAACATCTTCATAGTTCTTCGCCATCTCTACCACACGAGAGTCCCAATAAGGCATGGATATGCTGATACCATTGCTCTTGGTGGCACTTGTGAGACACTTGCGAGGACGGCTTTGAGCGAGGTCGAACGCATAACGAAGAACCCTGTCAACACCAACTCTAGTCATGACAGTCGCTTGGATAACAGTCTCCCGGTCGGTTCCCTCAAATATTTTGCCGCCAATACTGCTGTACTCGCCCTCGGTGTTCTCACGAACAATCCAGAAGTCAATATCGCCTGGCTTCCGATTGGCCAAGGGAGAGGTGACGCCGGGCATCAGACGACAGGGACGCAGGTTGATGTATTGGTCGAACTCGCGGCGGAACTTGAGCAAGCTACCCCAGAGAGAGACATCGTCGGGAACTTGGTCTGGCATGCCCACAGCGCCGAAGTAGATGGCGTCAAACTTGAGAAGCTTCTCCTTCCAGTCCGAAGGCATCATCTGCCCATGCTTGTGGTAGTATGCGCAGCTGGCAAAGTCGAACCACTCAAACTCCAGCGTAAGTCCGAAGATTTTGGCGACAGCCTCGAGACTCTTGATACCCCATGGCATGACCTCAACGCCGATGCCGTCGCCAGGGATGACTGCGATCTTGAGGGATTGAGGAGACATTGTGGCGGTAGGTAGTGATCCGACTGGTTGAACCGATGTGATGAGACCAAAATGACCGTGATCTGAACCGTCAACTTATGTGAATGAATTTGTGTAAGACGTTTGGCAAGAGTTCAGAGAGCTCCTGAAGTCGGAGGAGTCGTATTAGCGACAGGGCGAAGACCGGCAATGCTTTCGCTTAAATGATGAGCCGCGGGATTCGAAAGCCGACACCCTTCTTCTACCGGGGCACTTCATCCGTGAGGCTATTGTATGGATTATCGAGAGCACATCGGTAGATAGTATCGGGGTGATTTTTATAATGGTTGGCGCCATATTTCTTGCGTACTGCACGTGTGCTACTACATTTAGTTTGGTGATATCTGACTCACATGCTCCTGTTACCTCAAGTCATCTCGATCATCTCCCTAAGCGCCACTGAAACATCTTGCCGCTCGAAATCGTGCAATTTCAACGTTTTCAGACGCAGAAACCTCCTTACCTTCTTTCAATATGGTCAAAGTCGCTGTTTTGGGTGCCTCGGGGCAGATTGGACAACCCTTAAGTCTCCTACTCAAATCGGTATGACTCCAAAAGCCTCATTCATACGGTATCCAGCGCAAGGCAACTGACATACTTCATCATAGTCACTTCTTGTGACAGATCTTAGACTTTACGATGTTGTTCACACTGTAGGCGTAGCTACGGATCTCAACCACATTGATACTCCTTCAGTCGTTAAGGGCTATCTCCCCGAGAATGATGGTCTTCAAAAGGCTCTTAGCGGAGCGGAAGTCGTACTGATCTCTGCTGGCATTGCTCGCAAGCCGGGCATGACTCGTGATGGTTAGGCCTTCAGCTCCAGCACAACCTGAATCTTTGGGCTTACACACTTTTAGACTTGTTCAAGACCAACGCCAGCATCATTGCAGACTTGGCTGCTGGTGTTGCCCAATTCTGCCCGAAGGCATTGGTTGCAATTATCACCAATCCAGTCAACAGCACTGTCCCCATTGCCGCCGAAGTGTTGAAGAAGCACGGAGTTTTCGACCCCAAGCGCTTGTTTGGCGTCACGACACTGGATGTTGTGCGCGGATCCAAGTTTGTTGCTGATGTCCTTGGCAATATCAGCCCACAGAATCTCAAGGTACCTGTTGTTGGCGGGCATTCCGGAGCAACAATCTTGCCGTTGATTAGCCAATCCCAGCCCTCAGTACAGCTTAGCCAAGAGCAGATTGAGGCAATCACAAACAGTAAGTTCATTCGTCATGAAGATGGTAAACGCGCAAGCTGATGTAGCATTTGCAGGAGTCCAATTCGGCGGGGACGAAATTGTCAAAGCCAAGGCCGGTGCTGGGTCTGCGACAACATGTATGGCGTACGCTGGTTTCCGGTAAGTCCAGTCCTTTTAAGAAATACCTCTGTTTAGTCCATGAATAGTTGCTTATCATGATACCCTCTTAGCTTTTCTCAAGCCATTATCAAGGCTTCTCAAGGTCAGAGTGGTATCGTGGAGCCTGCCTATGTCTACCTCCCTGGGTTGCAAGGAGGTGAGGCTGTTGCCCACGAGCTCGGGGTGAGCTACTTTGCTGTCCTGGTGACCTTCGGGCCTGGCGGTGCCGAGACCGCGCATCCCATTGGATCTTTGTCTGATTATGAAAAGGGTCTTTTGAAGGTGGCCGTTAATGAACTCGGAGAAAACATCAAAAAGGGAGAGGCTTTCATCCAGTCACAGGCTTAAAGGGACCAGCCATTGCCAGGGTAGACAATTGACAGCGACATTGGTTCTAATGTGATTCTTACTGCCTACCTAGACCAGTCTTCTCTCAGCTAAGATTGAGCGATGACGTAGCCTGACCACGTTGCCTTTTGAACTTCAAAGAATCAGTAAGCCGCCGCGCCCTTGATCAGATTCGAAGTCCAACTGAAGGCTTCACAGGCGCCAAACGACGAAGCTTTCGCTCTTAGTATGGTCATTGTGCTTCTGCACCTGCATCGTTCACAATGTCCAGCAGTGAACCCCATGTAGCTCCATCGAACATGTCGATAAAGTTGTCAGTGACTCCAAACTGTCTATCCATGACCTGATTGGATGGGTTTCTGTTGCGATCCGGAAATGTTGTGGGTATGGGAGCAAAATAGAAACTCATAGATGAGGTGTTGTTTTGAAAATTGAAGTCAGCCGGCGAGAAAAGCTGGCTGGCATCGGGTGGACGAGTCTGACTCTGGTTTGGCCGGGGGCTGTTTGGGTTGAAGTCGGATGTCTCGAAGTTGAAATGATTCTGTCTTTGGCTTTCATAGACCCTTGGAACGGGATTGCTATCTCTTAGCCGTTGGGCTGGAATCGGGCTTTGAGTGTTATGGTTGGTATTTGATATTGGTAGTTGCCGTCGCGGAGACATTGTACCAAGATTTATGGGCTGATCTTGTCGCCCAGACGCATTAGTGCCTCTTATCCTCCTCTTGCTTCGCTTGGCAGACTTTTGTGTTGCATCTTGACCATCCTCATGATCTGAGCCCTCAGTGGTATCTTTTCGGACTCTCTTATGTGTTTTGGGTCCCTGTGTGATACCCTGAAGCAGGACAGATAGGACTTCTCTGCAGTGTCGAGCCATTGCCCATCGTTTTGTCAACTTGTTTAACAGTCGTAGCGAAGATTCGATTCCTCTACTTTCCCATTAGCGAATTGGTAAAACACTCCAGCTGGCAACTTTGATGATACGCACAATATAGCTTTCTCAACATTGCAAACTTTGAGTCGCGCTGCTAGAGCCAGCACTAGACCACTCATCCACACAGCTGACATGTATCCAGGCCAAAACAAAGGACCTCCCAATTCTGAATACTGCTCAATGATGCGGAGTATCGCGTAGGCAGCATTTATGCAAGTCTGTAATGCGTCACGGAACTCTGCACGTCTTGAGTCGAGTGAAAGAGAGGGACGATTAAGTAAAAGTATGGTGTAATAGTAACTGACGAAGGGAAAGACGGTGGGGTCCGGAGTTAGCTGTGGTATGTCTTGTAAGGCTGGGGTGAACCGCGGCTCTGTGAGATCGTTGCCATAGGCCGTCACATCCGCCTTCAGGAACAAAATTGTTTGATTATCCATTTCTCTAGCATGGATAGACTTGTGGAAGACTTCTAGAACTCTTCCCACTAGCTGTGAGTGCCGAACATGATGTTCTAGAACAGCTTGTGTCTCTTGACGGTGGCGGAGAATCGCGGCAGCCTTGGGTGATATGCTGGATGGCGGAGGGTCGGTACTGGCTCTCTCATGTCTACCAGGTTCCTCGTCTACGTCAGGCGAGGTCTCCGTGGTCTTATCTTGAACCGCTGGAGATGATGCCAACCGTTCGGGGTGGTTTGCAGGTAGGTGTAGGAAGGTGTTCTCCACTTGGCCGTGAAGATCTGACTTTGCAACTGGTTCATGGAGGTCTCGCTGGCCTGGCGGGCATACGTCGATGTCTGAGTCCTGAATGCCATTCGGGTGCCCCAGTGACTGGCTGATGAAACGGTCGAGAACGTAAAAGCTCCAGAAGGTGCGCTTACGCATTGAGCGCTCATCCGGAGACAGATGGTCGTATCGTACTGGGCATCTATGCATGCCAGATTGAAAGATTGACTTGGACAGCAAGCCACTGACAGACGACGCATGGCGTAGCGCCATGGTAGAAACGAAATAAACTTGAGATGCTAACAACGCTTGGATAGAAATTGTGTCGCAACGAAGGGCTAGCATGCTAAGAGTTGGTAAGAGGTCTGAAGGTAAACGTATAGCTGCTGACCCCAGGTCGAGCGGCCCATCTGTGTCAAGCTTAGCAACGTTCAAGATGCACTTGAAGATGACAAATTGGCAGAGCGATCTTGAACTGCGCCGGTTGAAGTCGGGTGCGTAGAGATTTTCCAAATCTGCTAGACACTCTGGCCCTTGTAGAAAGGGAACCAAAGGATGCCATATTCGGAAGTATGTGAGAAAGAGGTCCCGAGCAATCGTGTAGTCAGGCAATAAGCTCATATCAGTCATGATATCCATCCCTGATGGCATCGGTGAGCTCTCAGCATCCGACTCATAGTTCGCTCGACTAGCGCTGCTGCAACCTGGCCTCTCCCCCGAAGACTCCGGGTCATTTCGGTCGATGTCGCCCACGATGCAATCTTCGGGAGATGGATCATCGTGGGTATCGGCTCCGGCAGCATGACGTCCATCGTCTGCCTCGAGGCCTTCGGCTGTTGAGAAGGCCCTTCGAACGGTGTTGATGAAGAAGACACCTGAAGAACTGCCAACAAACTGGCTTTCCCCGTTGGCAAGAGCTCTGAGACTTCCGATCTCTGGTGCCATGTTGAGAAACCTGTTGCCAAGCTGATGGGAAGCCGAGCCACGCTCCGTCGATGCTACTTGCTCTCATCCGCCCTGGGAATGTGTAAATGTCGTCAAAGACGCGCTGACGCACAACGCCTTGAGGGGTGGGGTGCGGCGGAGTTAGGTTACCCCGGCTGTCTGCCGAAGATATCCGCCCAGGGAAGCTAAATGCGATTCATTTGCCCCCAACAAGGACCTCCTACTCAGTTGGCCATGATAATGCTACGGAGAACAAAAGGCTCTTGAGATTCTGAGGACGTGATACGAATTACTTCAATGATCTACATGTGTCTTCATAAGAAGAGGTCGTGGCTAGCCACACCCAGATAATAATAGTATTACGGACCTACTGAAAGTATTCTCATCGCTGTGTACCTCACCTATGGCCACACATGAGGTAGCCTTGATGCGACATGGCCTAGCAACTGCAATTACCAAAGGAATGCGCTTTCGTAACTTTCCAAAACTGGCGGGCGCGTCTGCCGCTTCTTTTCACTCGTTCTCGTGTCGAGGTTGGCTCTAGAACCCGTCATCCCTGCTGCGAGTAACCCAACAGTTGCTCCGCCCGTGTCGCGTATCCCCGAGGCGCTTGACATACCCGGGTCTGTCATGAGAGTTTCTCCATCTTCTTCCATGCTTTCTGCGCGCGTCGTGCCCTCGGACTCCTCGATATCATCATCCCCGTAACTCTCATCGCCGCCTGGTGTATTATCAGGGGGCGTGTCGTTCGTAGCAGCAACCTCGGACGCGTGAGAATCTCGATTGGACGTCTCGCTTGGTTCTTTCGAGGTTCGGTCTGCCCACCAACGCTGAACAGCTTCTGCTGAGTCGATAGGATGGGAGCCCCAGTACACAGAGCCAAACTTTTCTCCTTTGACCACCTCAATTGATGCTCCGCCATGGGCCGATGATGCACCCCCAGTCGATCGGAGGCCGGCTTTTGGAATATCACGAAATGCTCTTTCCAGTTGGTCCCCTGACACTTGAGCCAACAGTGCGCAGAGAACTTGTTCGGTTTCCATCAAACGCTTTTCCATGGTCACGATGTAGTGCTTCGGGGGCCCACTACATAAGCCTTAAGTGTCAGTCGTGTCAGATAGAAATTCAAGAGGAAGACTGGAGAAGAGACTTGGCTTGACGACCAAAGGTTGAGACTGACCGTTTTCTCTGTTCAGGCCACTGACATGACACCTTGTTGATACCGCATTGTGCACATTTTGGCCTACAGCGATGAGTTTTCCTGTTATTACAAAACATCAACCAGACGGGAACGAGCGCACCTCTCCCCACTACACTGTTGGTTGCCCAAGGAGTCAGTCAACCTCTGCTGGTTGTAGGTGATGAGTGAGTCTTCTCAACCCACCTTGTGTTTTCGCGCTCTGCAGGCCAAGCAGGCCCCACGACTCCGAGTTATTTTCTTGGTTCCTTGGCCTGCCATAGGCATTGACGGTATACTTTGCTTCTTGCCGAGATCGGGCTCAATTGGCCGTGGAGAGACGTTGGTGAAAGGCTTAAGAGACGGAGGAGATGGCCAGACGCGCGTAATATTTGAGCCGCGGACAAAGGAAGCTCCGCGGAAAAGTCGAATTTGGGAAGAAACATGTGGGTACCCATCGATTGCCCCACGCTGATCTCTCCTGCGACTGAACACGGCCAACACGGGAATCATGGATAATCGAACATGGTTGGAAGTTTTGTATTTTTCCCTTTCTACGTCGCAAGATCGTGTGGCCTATCGACGTGCCTCATAGATTCATAGCTATGTTTCTCCTACGCGGACTGCTCGTAGGCCTCAGCCTGCTCAGGAACGACCGTCAACAACCTCTCCTTTAAAACGCCACGACGTGCGTTTTCTATGGCCAGCGACTCCATCTGACCAAGTGTCTCAACGGTGTGGGTTCCCAGGTGAGGTATGAGCAATGCTCTTTCGTTCTTGACTAGTCGCTCGTCAACCAGTGGCTCCTTTTCGTAGACATCCAGCCCAACCGCTGCGATGTGGCCCTCGTCCAGGGCGGCGGCCATAGCTGCCTCATCAATGACAGCACCACGGGCGGTATTGATCAAGACTACACCCGCCTTCATCTTGGCGATCTCTGCGGCTCCGATCAAGTGCGTAGTACTGGCTGATAGCGGAACGTGGACAGAGATAATATCGCTGGTGCTGAGAAGTTCATCGAAAGAAACATATTGACAGCCTGCAGCGAGATCATCCGATAGCGGCTTCCGGTTGTGATAGATTGTCTTGAGCCCAAAAGGCTCGGCCCGGCGCTTGACTGCACGACCAATGCGGCCCATGCCGAGAATTCCCAATGTCTTGCCTTGAGGATCATGGCCAAAGTCGAGGCCCTTTTTGAAGTTGCCACTCCTTAGACTAGTAAAAGAGGGATTCAACTGGCGGATGGCTCCGAGGAGAAGAAAAATGGTCAGATCGGCAGTGGCCGACGTGACTGGGTCTGGCGCATAAGTGACAATGATGTTCCGCCGTGTGCAGGCATCCACGTCGATCTGATCGTATCCGGCGCCAGTATGGCAGATGTACTTCAAAGACGTAGGCAGTTGGTTCACGAACTCTTCGTCAAACTTTCCAGCAACCTGTCAAATGTTAGTAATTCGAAGGGTGATGTGACAAATAATTTACAGCTCCACTAGAAGACGTTCTGAAAATAGCCTCGATATTCTGATACTTGCTGCGCAAGTCGCTGAAGAACTGATCTCGCGAGGTACTAGTGACCACTTCGGGATCGGCCACCAGCTTCAAAGCCTCATACTCCTGTAGTGCATGGCGGACGGCGTTGAAGAAAAGGATGTGAGGTTTCGATTGCGACATGCTGGCGACTCTGTGTATCGGCATTATCTCCGTCTACATTGATTATGTTGATTGACTGGCGACAGTCTCTCTTCCTTTAAACCGTTAAAGCCATCTTCATTAGGTGCTTGCGCTTGGCCGATATAATACGTGGCCGCGCTTCAAGCGCCGCGGTTAAAATATTAGGCGAAGGCGTGTTTACCGACGGAACCCAGTTGCCGGTGACGGCTGTAACGGAACTATTCGCTTTACTTAGAGTTGTCCTTTGAGTTGTAGAATAACAGAAGCTCTTGCAAGATTGGAAGTCTGTTGGCTATCCCTCCATCTATCATTCCAGAATGTTGTGATGCTGAACTGGTAGGTTGTCCCTGGTGCCGCATCGACTACTCGTGGGTTTCCAATTTCTCTTGCGCAGCGTCGACGGTCCATTGACGACTTCTGAGCATTTCAGTGTTTAATTGATGCTCGTCCTGTCTTCAGCCTCAGGCACTCCAGGAGCCCCTTCAGACGACGGTGTCCAGGTCGGTCAGAGGATAGCTGGCACCAGCCCCATTAAGCCCTACGTTGAGAACTTGACTAGACTATGTGATTCTTCCCCCAAGTCTTCGCCTAATTTTCGCTTATCCGCTACCAATGTTGCCACCTGTATAGTCCTGGGGACCTCGGTTCGAATCGTCGGCTTTCCTGAAGTAGAAAGAGGGGACACGCGCAACTGCGTACGGACGTAAGAGGCAGATCGATTGGCCACCGTTGAGGGGCAAATGAGCAAGCATACCACTACAATAGCAGCTAGCAAGTTAACCTTAATTAGTCTTGGTCGTAGACTCGAGGCTATATTCGTAATGGGACTATGAGGAAATCGTATCAAGCGTTAGCGGTTAGCTCTAACCGATCGCCCCCAGTAGCACCAGCGTTAACCTCCCAGACTTATGGCAGCCCATTCTACCAGTCTTTGAACTGACACACAGGAAAAGCGCGTGGGTACTCTCACTCAGGGTAACGACAGTCTCGCATGTTTCGTAACGCTCGCAGTCAAGTGGGAAGAAATGGAGTCGCAGAGAGACAAGCACAATTGAGCACCGGGGTTGAACGAACACAACTTGACATAGGCGAATGTCCGTGATTCCACAGATGTATGCCATTCCAGCAGTTCATTGGTACATGTAGTCTTTCGCAATGTTTCCACAATTCCATACAGCATAGAGCAAGACTTCGGTGCCTAGAGGCCGGACCACGAAATGATATGCGATAGCACTGGGTAAACAAGTTTGATAGGAAACTCGACCGCTCACCCTAGAGTTCAAGATCCAAACATCCTGATGCAATAGCAACTGTCATGATACCTGCTCTTCGCCTTGTCTCTGCCATTTCTCTGTTCAAGTGTTCATGCTCGCATGGGTCTTCCGGTCCGGGCTGCGCCTGTCTGTTAGAGAAGGCATGTGGACGAGTTTCGTCACTTTAACGCCAGAAATCATTGTTTGGTCGCAGTCGACTTCGGTCTGACGACGCCAACTAATATCGTTCGCAGTTGGACTTCTTTCCAAAGTTACTAATAAAGCAAAGAAAAGTTTAGCGGTCGGGGTCCGACGTAACGCATTTGAGTAAAAGCCTCCGGTGCGAGGGATATCTAGAGAACCTACCAGACGATTTGCTCCATTTTCTTCAACAATTCTATTATATCGTTACAATTTCGGCTCCGACTTCTGAAAAGCACAACGATTCTGAAGTCGGTATTCGGCACGCAGTACCCAAGCAAATCGTCTCGTGTGGTTGGGCTTGCCCTCGGTCCTCTATCCATTGTAACTGAGTATTGTAGGGCAACATGGCGAGCTTTTCGACACTTTTGGGCCGGAGCCATGCTCAAGACTAAGTACTATTAATCGTTTGTTGGCGGCTCTCACATCTTGGAGGGTTCGCATTGCTCTATCGAGGAAGACTTGCACTTTTTGACAATTCCAGTCAGCTTCGGTCGCGTCTCGAATTGTTGGAAGAATGGTCCTATCATACCGAAGGAATCGTAGCCTACTTGCGTAGAATCATTAGATCGCGTCTTGAGGAATTTGCCTCGGTCGATGACTAGACTGCGAGATGGACGCGGTCGAGTTGATTGAACTTGTCGTCGTCGCCCGTGACTGGAATTCCGGACTGGCCGCCATAGCTCGCGTTTGCACAG